TATGGAGGCCCCTGGGGGCACGGCCATGGTCTTGGAGGTGCAGCCGCTGCCAGGGTCCTGATAGGCTACTCGGAGGAGGTGCTGTGCGGGAGGAGAAGCGACAATGAGAACTCAGCCCCGCCTGGTATGTATCTGGCTGCAAAGCTTGAGATCCCAGCAGAGGCTCCGCAGAGGCAGGGTGGGCGACACAAATCCAGCGGTGGGACCAACTGGAAAAAGCTTTCTGGGCACAGTGAGCCCCCAGGGGGCCCTGAGGAGGGGGGAGATGTGGTTGGTCGGCGGGCCACGCTGCAGGCTGAAAGGGTCACCCCAGCAGGGCCCCCCAACCCAGCGTTCACGCTTAGAACTAATGTGTGCCTGAGTGCTTGTGCAGCAGGGACTCATTTAATCCTCACACCAGTCCCAGGAGGCAGGTGCTGTTGTCCCATTTTATAGATGAGAACACTGAGGCACAAGTTAGGTACCTAACTAGCCCAAGCTCCCCAAACCAGAAAGTAGGAAGAGCCAGGATGTGAGCCCAGGCCAGGAAGGGTGGGGAGGAGGGGGCGGGGGCGGGGAGCCTGAGCTGAAGGCCTGAGTCCAGGGCAGGGCAGGGCAGGGCAGGGCCCCAGGTGGGGGCTGGAAGCCAGGACTTGGTGCTTGAGCCTGCCACCTGTGTCCCTTTCCCTCCCCACACCACGCCTCAGTCTCCTCATCTGTGAAATGGGGACAGGATGGCCCTGTTGCTGTGCTCCCTCTGGAGAGGCCGGCTTTGACGCCCGCTCTGCACGGTGCTGTTTCTGTGGCAGGGTGGCGGGTGACGCGGGGCCAGCCTGCGTGGGTCTCACAGTGCGGGCGGACGGCGCGGAGGCCCCGTTACCTGGAAGCTGTGGGTGGCGGGCAGGCGGCGCTGTTCCCAGAGGCTGAGGGAGCGCTGCAGCTCCTGCAAGGGGCTCAGCGGGAGGGGGCGGGCCTGGCCCAGGCCGCTGAGCAGGGCCAGGCTGGCAGAGAGGCTGGTTAGGTAGTAGCCGCCTGGGACACGGGGGAACAAGACAGCTCAGCGTGGGGCTCGGTGACGTGTTCCCTCTGCCCCTCCCTGCTCACGCGGGCCACGCGGGTGCCAAGACGCTCCGACCCCACCCGGACAGGGGTGGTGAGGGTGGGGGGTCCCTCACCCTCTCCGGTGAGCAGGGTGGGCTCCAGCAGCTCCGACATGTACTCGGCCTCCAGCAGCAGCTCGGGAAGGTCGCAGTGGGCCAGGACCAGGCTCAGCAGTGGGAGGAACTCGTCGGCCCCCGCGCCCTCTCCTGTGGGTGGTGGAGAAGAAGCTTCAGGCTCCTCTGGGGCCCCAGGGTCAGAGTTCACTCCTCGTCTTAGTCGGTGACTCTCCCCTCCACTTGCCGGGCCTTGGGCAATGTGGTCTCTATGGCAACCCCAAGCAGGGGCTGGGGAGAGGACGCACGCCAGTCTGGGCCTCAGTTAGACCATCTGTGAGATGGGAGGGTTGCGCCCATCTTTTCCGCTGCTGGGCCTGTCCTGGAGTCTGCCCGGGAGGCGCTCCCGAAGGCAAGGAGCCAGGGGGCGGCGGCGGGAGAGGACGCACCCCAGTGGGTCCTCAGGGCTGTGTAGAGCAGCTTGCAGGCCTGCAGGAGCCTCTTGACCTGGGCGCTGGGCGAGTAGGCGCGGAGCAGCTGCAGCAGCTTCTGGCGCACCTGCTCCATCTCCACCGGGGAGGGCAGGCTCAGCTGGGACCCGAAGGCTCCGGGGCCCTGGGCCCGGGCCAGGCGGAGGCCTTCAGCCAGGCGGCCCAGGGAGCCGTCAGCAGACAGTCGGCGCTGCAGCCGGGCCACCAGGGTGGGCCGGAGAGGCTTGAGCACCGAGCGATGCAGTGACTTCTCCAGGACACGCTCTGCGGAGCAGAGGCGGACGGGGGTCAGGGGAACCAGGGCGGGGTGGGGGTCGGGGTCCCAAGGAGAAGGGGCCTAGTCCAGGAGGGACGGGATGAGGAGGAGGAGGAATTCCGTGAGACGGGAGAGGCGGGGAGAGAGGTGGGGAAGGGTGCGATTCCCTTGAAGGGCGGTGAGGGGAGCGGCCGGCGGGTGCTGCGGAGAGGGCCGGGGGGTGGGCCAGCGCTGAGATGATGGAGAGACGGGGCGGAGTCTCACCCAGTCTGCTGGGTGGCAGCAGCTTCTCCGGGCCCAGCTCCGCGCTCAGCATGGCCCGAGCCCTGCTCAGTGCCTCGCGGATGCCCTGCAGCTCCTGGGGCTCGGGGCCGGCCCGCACCTGGGTCAGCAGGTCCTGCACCAGCTGGCCCACAGCTGTGTGGCGGTCCTGCATCAACGCCGAGGCTGCCCGGCCCACCTGCCGCTCGGGCGCCAGCAAGGAGCAGAAGGCAGCGCTCATGGACCGGAGCAAAGGCCGCCTGCGGCTCAGGCGGGGCGAGGTTGCCGGGCTCCCTCGAGGTCCCTGCGTCCCCTCCTCCTCCTCGGAGCTGCTGGGGGAGCCACAGTCCACCTCCTGGAGGGAGGGCAGGGGAGGGAGGCTCGGGCCGGCACCCCCCGGCACACGGTACCCCACTGAGCTCTCCCTCCGCAGCAGTTGGCGAGGGGGCAACCTTTCCGCCTGGTTGGGGGCCGGCCCCGGCGGCACCGGGACAGGGGGAGGCGGCACCGCGGGCGGAGACAGGGGGCTGGAGGCCTCTGTGGATACGCGTACTTTGAAACTCCTCTTGAATTTCTCCCGCTTGGTGGGCCCCAGGTCTCCTGGGAACAGGGGGTTGAAGAAGCACAGGGCAGCTCCGGTGCCCTGGTCCAGCTCTTGTGGGGACCGCGGCTTCAGCCGGGGCGGCAGCGGGCCTGCGGGCGGGCCTGGCCGAGCCCTGGCGTTGAGGGAGGAGCTCCAGAACTCTGGAGAAGAGAAACCCGCTGGGGCCTCAGGAGGGCCAGGGAGTGTGCCCACCGGAGGGCCGGGCGCAGACTCGGGTCGCGTGCCCGAGTGCCTTCCCTCTCCTCCCTGGCCTCGGTCTGCCCGTCCACACAGTGGGCAGCAGGGGAGCCCCTACCGATGCCCAGATGGGAGATGGCTTCCAGCTCCTTGTGGGTGGCTGCCTGGCGGATGGCTCTGGGGAGCTGGAGCTGCAGGAGAAGGACGTCCCTGAGGCCAGGGAGGGGGGCAGAAAGTCAGGGGCGCGGGAGGCTTGAGGCTGCGGGGGCAGGAGGGCAGGGTGGCCCTCGGACCCCGGGCTCACCGGGAGTGGCAGTAGGCACAGATGAGCTGGACCAGGTCCGGGAAGACGAGCTCGGATCCCTCCAGGGAGACGCCTGAGAGACGGGAAGTGAGGCTGTTCCCTGCGGAACCCCCCTGCGCCCAGCCTCTGCTTCCAGCCCCTGCCCTCCGGGCCAGCCCCTCTCACCCCCAGGGCTCTCCTGGATGTAGTGGCTGGACACGAAGGAAGGGCCACTGGCCTCTGGCAGCCGCACGCACAGGGCTTGGCACTGGCGAGTGTTCGATTTCCGCACCAGGAACGTCTGGAAGGGATGAGGCGGCTCCGGACCTCCGCGTCCGGCCCTCCTCCCTCCCACCCCCTGCAAGTAGGGGACGAGACTCACCCCCGGGGGCTCGGTCCTCAGCACGTGCAGCGCGGCCGCCGCGTTGGCCCGCAGCTGCAGCCACACCGGCCGCGTGAGCAGCAGGCGCTCCCGCAGGCTCACAGCGCGCCCGGGCCGCTGGGGCCCACCTGCCCGCCCTCCGCCGGCCTCGGGAACGTCGTACAGCGGGTCCTGGGCTGGCCTGGGGGCAGGCGGCAGACCTGAGCGGGGGGGCCGCGGGCCAGGACCCGGCCCAACCCTTTCCCCTCGTCTGCCCCCTGGACAGACCCTGCCGCGAGGTCCCTCCCGGCCCCGCCGGGCTGCCCTTCCAACTTCACTAACTTTTCTCTCTCCGGGCACCCGGGCACGGAGGAGTCCGCGGGGCTGGGGGCTCCGGGAAGGCCTGCTCCGGGATCCCCGGGGCCCTCCATGGCGGGGTGCTCCTCCGGCTGGTTACTCCTGGGACTCGGGAAGACGAGCCAGCCCCCAAGGCGAGCACATTCCCGGCGGTGAGTAACACTTCCTGAGGGCGGTGCGCCCTGTCACACCCCGCCAGTTAACTCCCGAGTGTCCACTCGGCCCGGGCAGTGCCCACCTCCTCTCTGTGCTGGGCCCGGCCTTGGGGGGCAGGATCCTCTCCCCGCAAGGGCCACTGCGAGACCCCAGCTGCGAGACCACCGGTGGCCTCCACGGAGGGCTCCCCGCGGCAGCCGCCCCGAACCACGGGAGGGAGGGAAGGGGTTAAGTAGCGCCCGCCTCCTCCCAAAGGCCCAGGCCTTGCCTCTGGGGCACCTTTAAGTCTGTGGTGGGCTGCTGGTCTGTCCCGGCCTCGGGGTCAGCCTTGTGCCAGAGCGCCCCCTACTGGTCACAGATGACTCATTCTTGAGCCTGATGGGTTTTGGGACTTCAGGTTGCCATGGAGAAAGGATGCCCTGTCTCCATGGAAACTAACCCCTTTGCTTAACTGAGGTTCTGGGGGTGGTTCTAACGCTCGGCACTAAACAGGGGGGAGTCTGGCTGTGGGGTGTCAGCACGTGGCACAGCCGCTGGCTGCCTCCCACGCACAGGGGCCCTGCCAGCCGCCTCGCCACTCTGCCAACGACAGGGCAGGTGCAGACGTGACCCAGTCTCCAGGCATGGGACACCCTGCCCCCCGCCCCGTTGGAGGCCACGTGCTCTGCCGGTGCCACATGTTGCTTCAGGCTTGTCCCCAGCACCAGGCAGTCCAGGGCCCAGCCCCGCTCCTGGGTGGGCAGCGGGGGAGGGGCCACAGAGAGCCCCCTTCTCCCCAGTCTGTGCCCCAGGTCAGAATGGGTAGGCTCCTGCTGGCGAGAGATGCCAGGGACCCAGCAGTGTCTGCCTGTCTCGGGCACTTGTCATGGGGGCCCTGCCTGCTTTGCAAGGTAAATCAGACACACGGGGGTCACGCCCGAGTCCCAGGAAATGTTTTAATTCCAGCCCCCGGCGATGTGGGAGGCAGGCCCCAAGGACGGCAGGACCTTGGCAGGACCTGGGGAGCCTGCCCTCTGACCACGGCAAGAGCCAGGGCGGCCCCACACGTGCCCTCCGGCCCAGAGTGCCCGTGACCTGGGCCCAGCTCGCTGGCCCGGCGCCTGGGAGCCAGGTCCACGGGCAGCAGAGGATGTGATCTGGCCTGAGCAACGTCTTCTTTGTCAGGGAGGTGACCGGCGGGGCTGACCGTCGGGGGGGACGGCAGGGGCTGGCTGGGGACGCAGGGGACAGTCCCGTCCTGGCTAGCGGGGCTCCGGGCCCCGCCGCACAAGCCCCGAGGAGGGCAGAGGAGGAGTCCAGACCGGAGGTGGCCCGAGGGGAGGCCCCGCAGCGGTGCTGGAGGGCCTTCCTGCGTGGTCTGCCTTCCGCCGCAGCAACGCAACGCCAGTCCCGGGTTTGGTGCCGGCGGTGCACGGCGGGGTCACGGTCCTGGGGGCGTGGGGGAAGGGGAAAGTCACTGCGGTGAGAGGCAGCCGAAGTGAGGGGGCGGCCCCTTCACCCGGGAAACCGAGAGGCGTGGCCTCAGCCTGACCCGCCGGTGCCAGGCCCTCCCAGGGCGCCACAGGTGACCCATCCTGGAGGGGAACCCCGTCCCCTCGCCCCTTCAGCTTAGAGCTTCCCCACCCCCACCCTGGCTCTTGCCCCCAGACTGCCCCAGGGCCCTCACACCCAGACTGTCTGAGGGCCTCAGGCCCCTCATCTGGCTGGGCCACTGCCTCTCTCTGGGCTCCCTGGGGGGCGGGGGGGGGGCCGGGCTGGGGGCGGGAGGCCCCTGCGGTTCTTACCGTCTGATTTCCTCTTCTGGGGGGACACAGCTGCCCTAGCCTGGGTGGGAGAGAAGAAAAGCCCCCCCGTCAGGGAGGCTTTCCTCCTGCTTCCGGCCTGGCAAGCCCCCTCCACATCAGCCTCTCCGGGGTGGGGGCTGCTGGGCCCGCGCGGCCCTGGGGTGGGGTGGGGTGGGGTCGGGGGTGGGGGAGAGCACAGGACCCTTTCTAGAGAAGGCTCTCCCGGGACCCCCTGCCAGAGGCCTGGCCAGCCCAGCGGCTTTCCCACCTTCCCTCTCTGCTACCCCATCCGAACCTGCCCAGGAACAAGACAGGCCAGCGCGGACTAGACGCTCCCTGCTGCGGGGCGGCCTTGGACAGAAGGAGGCGTGTGAGTGGGCAGCAGCCAGGGAACCTGGTGGGGGGGGCCCCCAGGAAGCCCTGGGGCGGAGACCAGAGCGGTGTCCGGGGCGGGGGCCCGCATGCCAGGCGCTCCCCTGAGGCCCAGAGACGGGGCGCGAGCGGGCGGCACGGACCCACCTTTTTGATGGCCGTCCAGTCCTCCAGGATGTCGATCTCCTGCAGCATGTACACGATGTAAGGGCCTGCAGCGCGGGTCAAGGAAGCAGGAAGCCCAGGGGAGGGGAGCAGCAGGTGACCGCCCAGGCTGGGGGGTAGTGCTGACCCTCGGGAGAGGCAGTGCTGGGGACAGGGGTTCGAGTCCAGGCCCTGCCCCCAGGATCTCTTTGGGGGGTGTGGGCTGCGGACTCCCCAGAGGGTGCGGTGGGCACCCAGCCTCACCCCGACCTCCCCCACCTTGGCTCCCGCTCACCCCCTCTCCAGTCTCAGGGTCAGCAGACCAAGGTGCATCCAACCCACTAGGGGGCGCTGCTTCTTCTGTTCCTTGTCCCCCTAACTGTCCCCTCCTCTGGCCCCTTTCCCCAGGGACACACAGACCCCAGTGTCTTCCACTCCGAAAACCCTCCTTGGGTCCCACACGCCCCAGTGGGGACCACCCACTCTGCCCTCCTGTGCCCTGCACCTGAGGTCCCCACGCCCTCGCCTCCCATTCTCTTCTCCCTCCCGGCACCTGAGTCCTGTCAGCAGGCGGCCAGTGCCCTGAGCCTGGCTACTGCGGACTAGTGCGGGGGAGGGGAGCGGGGCGGGGGTGGGGGAGGTGGGGTGGGGCGGGATTCAATGCCGCTCTGTGCGGGGCTGTGCCCCAGGGAAAAGGCACGGCAGGCCCCGGACGCAAGGGCTCACGCCCACGTGGGGCAGAGGCAGCTGCTCCCCATATGGGGTGCGGGTACCCCCCACCCTCCCGTTTAGGCCCCAGGGGTGCAGGGGAGAGAGGAGGCGCAGCCGCCAGGGGAAGACCAGGAGAGATTTCCCAGGGGGACGGCGTCTGGCTGAGCCCCGCGCAGACACGGACAGAGGGCAGACACGGACAGAGGGCGAAAGCGAGCAATGGGGGTGGGAAGGCCCGGCACGCACCCCAGGCCCAAGTTGTTGGGGGGGAGCCAGGAGGCTCAGGAAATCACGGGGGTCACTGGGCAGACGTTTCCACTCTCCACGGTCCCGAGAGCCCAGGGGAGATGCATGACCCCGCCAACAACTCCTGACCGCTGGGCTTGCCTGGGCACGGCCACACGAGGCCAGCCGGCCACAAATGTGTCTCGTCTGACTCTCTCTTCCTCGTCCCCCCCATCCCCCCGGCCCCGAGTCCGGGGCTGCCATCCGGCCCGGCTCAGGCCCCGTCGGTGGAAGGATACCGGAAACGAGGGGTGCCTTCTTCCTCTTGCTGGGTGGCAGGGAGTCCCAGGTCTTCGAGCTGCCTCTGGCGTGTAGTTTGTCGTCCCACCACTCTGCGTCCCCAGACCCCGAGTCAGGATCGAGGCGCTAGCCCTCCCGGGACACCCCCACCCTTGTTGCCGGCCCTTCCCCATCAACCACCTCCCGGGGCAGCAGCGGAGAGAACCCTGGGCTTGGGGGGCAGAAGCGAGTTCAGGTCCCAACGGCTCAGATGGGCGACCTGGGAAAGAGGTCCCTGCACTGTGTGGGCCTCGGTTTCCTCATCTGTTTAGTGGACCGAGGAATGATGACAATTCCTGCCTCCCCAGAGCCCCACGTGGTTTGCAGGCACTAAGGACACAGAACGGACCGTGGCTACAGGATGTGTGGGAGTGGAAGGGTGTCACCCCGAACTCTGGAAAGACAGCAGGGGGCCCACTCTTCTGGAACCACCCCCTTACCCCGGTGTGCCAGGCCCTCCCCCTCCCTGGCCTCATTCAGCTCCCACAGCCACCGTCCCACTACCCCAGGGACAGGAGGGGACGCTAAGGTCCGGGCAGGGGTGGGCACCGGCCGTCAGGACTGGGGAGGGTGCCCAGGGCCGCCCGCGCCTCACCTGAGCTGATGTCCAGGCTCTGGCGGTCCTCCTCCAGCCTCTGGATGCGCTCCTGCAGCTCGCCCTGCAGGGTGTCGTACAGCAGCAGCTTCTCGCTCTGCAAGGGGCAGGGGTTGCTCAGCCAGGAGGCACAGGTGGGCCACTCCGCTCCTCCTCCCCCGGCGCCCACCAGTCACCTCCAGGTGCTGCTTGGCTCCCTGCAGCTCACACTCGTACTTGTTCCTGATCACGTCCAGGCAGAAGCCCTTGTAGATGCCTGCAGGGGCGGGGGGGGGGGGGTGATGGGAGGGCCAGCTGGGCCAGGGATGCCAGTGCCCCCCGCCAGCAGGGCCAGGAGCGTGGGCAGGGCAGGGTGGGGATGAGAGTGGAGGGGACCCTGTGTTGGTGGGGAGCAGGGAGAAGGACTGGTGGGCGCCCCCCCCCCCCAGTGCACGGGACAGCCCACAGACCTGCCACCTGAATGCGAATCTTGAGGCTCCGCTGCAGCCCCCCCAGGGGCTCTGTGTACTCCGGCGCTCTCTCGGCCCCCACTTCCTCCAGCCGCACCCGCAGCTGACTCAGCCGCTCCCTGAACAACCTGGGAAGTAAAATGTGCTCCTCCCTCAAACACACACGGAGCGCCCCGAGCGAGCGCCTGGTCCACGGCAGGCCCTGCCCAGCCCCCGGCCTCTGCCCCCACCACCACCCCGCCCCGGTGCCTGAAGACCCAGCCCCGGGCGCCCCAGGCTCACTTCTCCTTTAGCTCCGAGAACTGCTTCTCCAGGTCCAGCATCTCACTGACGCACTCGCTGCGGCGCCGCTCGTAGTCCTCGTCATCCATCTCTGGGGCGAGAGGCCGGTCAGGGCGGGCGAGGAGGGAGTGGGCACTCGTGTGTGTGTGTGTGTGTGTGTGTGTGTGTGTCTCACCTGAGCTCTCCTCTTCCGACTCGGTCTGGCTGCCGCTTCGTTCCTCCTCACTCTCTTCCTCCTCCCCGTTCATCTCGGCGGCCGAGTCGCCCTCTGCTTCCATCTCCTCCGGGTCTTTGCTTGGAGGCTGCACCGGCATCTGGGCTCTGGAAGAAGGCACGGAGCCATCGCTCATCCCTGCCCACAGCTGCCGGTGGGAAAGTGGCCGCGAGGGGCGTCCAGTGGAGCCCGACCGCAGCGGGGGCAGCAGGGGCAGCAGGGGAGGTGATGGACTCGCCACACCCCGAGCACACGCTGGGTGGGGGCCACTCACCCTGGCTGCACGTGGTCCTGCCTGCGCATCTCCCAGAAGCCATGGCAGTGCTCACACCCTGGGATATGGCTGGTGACCCCCAGCCGGGAATCCTGGCCAAGGTGATCACCCATAAAATGGGGAAGGCCCAGGGTGGGTTCCTCACTGCCTGTGGGAGTGGGCCCAGCTCCTGACGGGGGCTTTCGAGACCCTGCCCCGACTAGGCTGCCCGTGCAGCCCCTCCGCCCCACCGTCTCATGGCCAATCCTCCAACAGCACCAGGCTCTCCCTTCCTCCCCACCCCCATTTTCCCTCTGCCTGTAACGCTCCCCCCCCACCCCACTTGCTGAAAACAGTCTACGGCCTCCTGTCTTCTCACTGTGCTCCGGGTCCGGTCCCATCTCCTTCTGCTTCCTCTGGGACTCCACGTCAGCGGGGCCCCGCCCTCTTCTGCATTTTCAATGCTCCCTCCTGACGGTTCCCCTCCACGGCGCTCCAGACACGCTCAGGTATTCCCCACCACTTAGGAAAAGCAGAAACGCAACACCTCGCCCTAGGCACTCAGCTGCTCCCCGTCCCCACCTCACGGCTGTGCCTTCAAGGCCCGTGCACACCGGCCCCTCCTACTGCTTAGCCTCCCGGTCCTATGGCCGCTCTCAGCTGAACCCGATCCAGCAGCGTTAGCTGATGGCCGCCCTGTGCCTGATGCCAGCATTCTTCCGTGCTTATCATGGTTGCCTTCTAGCAACACCGAACACTGCTAAGCATTCCTTCTTTCATTCACTCAGTATTTGTGGGAACTCTCCTATAGACTAGGGGCCATCAGACACCGCGGTAGGTGCTGGGCACGGCTGTGATGGGCAGACACAGGCTCTGACCTCATGCTGTTTACAAGTTCCTGGGAGCAACGGGCAAAGGGGCAGCCCGTCGGTGTGGTGGGAGAAGCGTTGACAGCAGAGGCCTGAGGTGTCTGTCTAACTGGGTCCCTGCAGCACCAGGGCCAGACAGACGGGCAGAGCCGGTCCAGGAAGGGGGCATTCCAGGTAGAGTGGCGTGTGCAAAGACCCCGAAATGAGAGGAGGGGCAGGGTTGGGGGCACACGGGTCTGAGCCTCGGACAGAAATCTGGGCTGCAGAGATCTGGTCAATGGCAGACAGCGACTGATCAGGCAGCAGGAGAGGGTGCGACCAGCAAGGCCGAGTGTGTGGAGTGAGAAGTCACCCACGATGGAACTGTCAGGGTCATCAAAGGGCCAGAGAGTGAGGCCCCTGCAAGGGAGAAAGAAATTACCAACAGGCGGAGGAGAAAAACCTGAGTCAGTCATGGAGAGAACTGCAGAAGGAAGGAGCGGTGACAGTGTCAAATGCTCCAAGAAGTCACCTAAGAGCAAGACGAAACAGTCCTCTCAACAGATAATCTCTCTGCCTGTTGAGGGTTCTATCTAGTTCACTGTGATGCCCCGCCAGCTTCTCTGGGCACTGTCCCGTCGACCTTTAGATGGGAACAGACCCCGCCCCCTCCAGGAAGCTTTTAGATGGGAACAGACCCCGCCCCCTCCTGGAAGCCTTATTTGCCAGACATTTCCTCTCTTCTTGCCCATCTCCTGTCTATCTCCCCAACCAGACACCGAGCTTCCCCGGGGCAGGGCTGCACATGCGCCTTATTCACCTAGCACGGTACCAACTCGATGACCGGAGGGTTCGCAAATACAAATTAAACAAAACGAACGTTTGCGAGACGGGGGTTGGCTTTTACTTCTTGGTGGCCCCAAGCCCCTGCAGTGGTAGCAAACCCGAAGTGTTCTGTTCACCTTCCTTGACAGCAATTCGAAGTGTGTAAAATCACGGGACTTGAGGAGAGTTTAGTCACGTTCCTCGACGATTTCACAAACAATCTGAACCTGACCTGAAACCTTCAGTTCTCCAAACCGGTCTCATCGTTCCCATTCTCAAGTCTCGGTTCCAACAGTTCCCAAGTTTTGCCATTTCTTTGCACTGTTAGATATATTTACTTGGTAAGATGCAATGTAATCGGGACAGAAAGGGCGAGGCCTCCTGTTCTACTGAATGAGCTCATTAAATGCCAACCTCCTCTCCTTACCCCGGGTGCAAAGAGAAAATAACCATTGCTCCCCTGAGGGTTGTAAGATTGCTGGAATGAGGGAGGGAAAAGCGAATCGTAAGGCGCTGTGCAAAGGCAAGTTATCTTTTCAGAAAGTGAGCATCTCGAAGGCAGAACGCCATGGTCCCCACCCTCAAAGAGGACAACTCAGCGCTTCCGCGGCGCGCCCAGAGCCTCCCCGCCCCGCTCCATCCCCGTAGGCGCCGGCACGGGCAGGACAATCACTGGCCCTTCTGCGGCCAGCTTGGGGCCCGCGGCCACGCACGCGTCCGGCCGGTTAAGTCTCCGCTTTGGCCCTGGAGAGTGGGCGGGCTCCGACCGACTCGCTGGAGAGACCGAGCCGGGCCCCATGGGTGGAGTTACGCACCGCAGGGAGTGGAGCTTCTGGCCTCACGTGCGAGACTCCCTGACAGGTGGCTGCAGATGCGGGTGCTGGCCGCCGGCGCCCGGCTCGGGGAAGCGCAGGGTCCGTCCCTCTTCACCCGGAGGCTGGTGGGGGCGGGGAGAGTGCCGCCCGCGCTTCCGTATTCGTCATCAGAAGACGCCCGTTGGGAAGCTCACAATTGGACAGCTGGGGCGAGGCATGCTGGGATACCGAGCGCTGGTTTCCATAGCAACCGACCGACATTCACACTGGCCATCAGCCCGCGGAAAAACCTTTGTGGTTTCCTTTACAGTCGGCGCCCCTAGGTCCACAGCCACCTCCCCCCGACGCCCCAAGGCGTGAAATTGGGGAGAACCCGCGACCCCTCCGCCTGCCCGGTTCAGGAGAGTCACGGAGCCAGCTGTAGGTGTGAACACTCGTTTATTTACACATTGCCGTCCGGAGACAGATTACCAGCCTAGTGTCTTCGAGGGTGCAGACCCTGCAGACCCTTCCCTTCTTCAGAACTCGCGAGGCCTGGGAGAACCAGGGAGTTTAGGCTTTAGTCCGAAAGCTCAGAACTAAATTCAAAGCCTGTACCGGATTCCCTTCCAAAAGTCCGTTTTGTTAGGTACTCAGACTCCTCAGCTCTGCCCCATTCATACTGGTTGCTCTCCTACGGCTCACCCACCCAAGATTGTTAATAATAATAACAATAATAACAACAGTAATACTGTAATAATATTAATAACACTTCACATTTGTACGAAGCTTACAGACTGTTTTCACACGTAGCATCTCATCTGAGCCTCCCAGCAGTTTTGTGAGGTAGGTAGTCTCACCTCCCTTTTTGCAGACAGGGTTACTGAGGCTCAGAGAGGGAACAGGATTTGCTCAAGGCCACACAGCTAGTTAGTGGTAAAGCTAGGACTTGATCCCAGCACCCCATATTCAAGTCCAGTGTTCCAACGCCGCAGCGACCACTGTAGAGTGGAGTGTCCTTTCTTACCCTTGTCAGGCCTGAGGGGCGGCCTAAGGAGAGAGGAGGCTGAGACTTCTCAGACTAGGGCAGGGAAGGACTCAGCAATGACGGGGGGAGTCGGGGTACTTGCTCTTCAACTCCTGTTTGAACTGGCGGTAAAGAATCTTATTGTGCTGATTTTCGGCCTCCTTTTGGGGATGAAACTTCAAGGCTTCTTTGAAGCCCTTATGAACCAGGAAACCTTCGTTCAGCACCTCGAAATCAAATCCTGCCACGTGCAGCTCACAGGCCTGCAGGGGGAGAGATAGGTCAGCAAAATTGGATGACAGTCCCAGGGCCAAGAGTGACGTCCCTAGAGCTGCTTCCAGCACCGCCACGCCTCTGGAGGCATCCTGGACCTTCCACAACACCCAGCCACTGCTGAGCGATGATCCCTCCTGCCTCAGTGCCCCCCTTCCATCCAGGACCCCTCATAGCTCCCTGACTCCGCCACCCTTCCTGCCCCATTTCCCCTGCCCTCTCCCTTATAGGCACCTGGCTGATGCGATTGAAGCCGTACTGCCGAAAGCGTTCGTCGAAGGTGGGAACCTTGCCTCCAGCCACATAGAACGGCTCCCAGGGGTCCTGCCACGGCACCACGTAGGCAGGCCTCAGCAAGGTCTCTTCAGGCAGGTTGACCCAGCGGGAGTAGTTGGTGGGTGCCTGGCAGGGCGTGCACAGCCCGTAATAGAACGGCCGCACCTCGCCCACCTGGTAGAGCTGCAGCAGCTCGTTCTTGTTTGTGGGCATGCGGCGGGCCCGGCGGATCTCAAAGGCGGGCACCACCAGCGCTGTCCCTGCCCACTGCTTGCTCTGATCCAGCATTTCCCGCAGGCCTCTCCACAGTCCCTCGCTGGGCACCATGTCCACATCGATCACCAGGGCATAGTTGGCCCCCTCACGAGCAAGATTCCTCAGCAGGTTATTGGGGTAGGAGACATTGGTGCCCAGCGCGTAATTGATCCCGGGCTGGGCCACCCTGGCTAACTTGTCAAAGACCTCCTGGCAGGACCGCAGCAGGGCGAACTCCCCGGGCTCCCGGGGGTCGGGCACGGCGGCCTCATAGCGCGAGGGGCACACGAGGTGCATGGCGACTCTGGCGCGCATATCGGGGCAATGGCTGCTCAGCGCATAGGTCAGCACCGTGGCCAGCTGCGCCTCCTCCTTGGTGGCCGCGAACACCGACACGGATAGCGGGCCCTCCCAGCGCTCCAACAGGCCCGATAAATGCAGCAGGTTGTCCACGCTGGCGTGCGTGGCCAGGATCACATCACTAGGGTCCATGGTGGTCTTCAGTAGGCCCCTATAGACGCGATAGTCGCCGCTGGAGTCCAGGACGCCTCCGGAGGCCAGAGCGGCGCGGAGCTGCGCCTTGACCTGGTCCACGGACCGCGGGGACGGGGGAAAGAACTCAAAATACTGTTCTTGCTCCTCCTGTCCGTGCAGCCCGGACAGCAGCGACAAGTAGAGCAGCTGCAGCATCGCCACCAGCATTAGCGCGGCCAGCAGCAGCTGGTAGAAGGCGCACCGGATGGCGTAGGACATCTGCATGGCTCTCGGGTCTCGGGGCGCGCAGCAGGGACCACCAGACCACAGCCTCTGCCAGCCGCCGCAAGCCCGGATTTACCGCAGCCCGCCGAGTGCAGCCGAAGCGAGCCGAGGCGAGCCGAACCGGGTGCACAGCCCCTCCCGCCCGCACTAGCCTCCGGGCGCGCCAGCTCGCCCCCTGCAGGAGTGGAGGAGCTACTGCACTCGCTGCCCGCGCGGCGCGCTTTGCAAACGCTGGAACTGCCTGCGGCCGCACCGCCGGGTTCCCAGCGACACGGACCCCACTCCCTCCCGGTCAGTGCGCGACTGCCCTGGACCAAGCGCGTCCTGAAATGTCCGCGCGCTCGCTCCCGACTCAGGGAGGGGAAACCGTGGCAGAGCTCTGCTGCAACTTGGTGAAAGATGGTGTGGATTTCGGCGGCGGCGGGAGGAAAGGAACGCACACACACAAACCTTTCTTTCCATCATCTCTCCTTCCTGCAGATCCTACAAGGGATGCACTGAAAACTGGATAGAAGGAACTCGAATGGTGTGGAGGAAATAAGAGATAAGGGAATTTGGAAATGGGGACTTTTACGTGGGACGAGGTGGCCGAGTGGTTAAGGCGATGGACTGCTAATCCATTGTGCTTTGCACGCGTGGGTTCGAATCCCATCCTCGTCGTTCGCGTTTTACACAGGAGGAGATTCTTCATTTTCTACATCCCGCCGGTCTGGAGCACCAGGTGGAAGACGATTTGGCCCAACCCAGGCTCTCCCCGTTCACCACGCACCTCCTCCCTCTGCACGCACTTCCCACTCCGTGAACCGGAACCTACTGAGCGGGGGTTACAGAGGTCCTTTTCTTTCTCCCCAGAGGGCCCCAGGTCCAGTGGCACCTGGAAGACCAGAACTGGAATTCTGCCCAATGCCAGATTAGGGGCCAATGTATTAATTTGAGAAGCACTCCCCTCCCTGTCTAAAGGAGTGGAACTTGAGGGTGGTGGGTCATTTACATTCTTATTCTCTTCTGCCCCATGATTCTCCTCTCTCAGCGGGTCTCCCAGAGGGGAGACGTTGTATCCACACTCCTCTCTCCCCAAGACACCCCACGCGAGCAGGTCTCGAATATTTTCACACCAGCCTTATACACAAGGCGCTTAAAAGTGTTTGTGGAATATTTGATCCATGGATTGATTGATTGATTATTTATTTATTTATTTATTTATTTATTATTTTTAGGAAACCATGGGTTCTTTAAGAGAGGAGTGGCTGCGGGGACGGACAGGTACCTTGACTGCTAAATCAATGTGTAGTAACTACCAGAGCGCTGTGAATCCTGGGAAGGGGAGGCGCTCCGGGACAGACAGGGTGGGCCTGGAGAGCCAGGGTGAGTCTGCTTCCCACACACCTTCCTTACCCTTCCATCTGGCTGCTCCTGACCTTGAGCCGTTTGTGATAAAACTGTAATTCAGCAAGAGAACGTTTCTCTGAGTGCTGTGAGCTGCGCTAGTAAATTAAGTGAGGAGGAGTGCTGGAATCTGACTTCTAGCCAATGGTCGGTGGTACAGGGGGTACCACCTGGACTTGCCATTGGCAGGAAGAGGGGGGGCAGTCTCGTGGGGCTGCGTCCTTGTGGAATCAGGTGAGCTCTCCAGGGAGACAGAGTCGGGGTTGCGTTGCGTTGCGTTGTGGGACACTCAGCTGGCGTCAGGGTATGGCCTGGTGTGGGGACTCGTCGGAACCAGTGGCGGCACCGCACCTGCGGAAACACGGCTGTACTCGGTGGGGATCTTGAATCCTGCGGCTTCGCCGCGTTCCTTTCTTAGTTCTGATAGTCGTGTGCGCGCGCGCATGCTTTAGGGCTTTCTGCGTGCGTTTACATTATATCACCCGTGCATCTGGGCAGTTTTACTCCTTCCTTTCCAATCTGGAGGCTGCACTTTTCTCCTCCTTGACAAACTGCTCTGGCTGCAACTTCCAGCGCAAAGGTGAGTGGACGGCGTGGGGGGAGGGGCATCCTCTTTTGTTCCTGGTCTTGGGTGGGGGGGGAGGCTTTCAGCCTTTCGCCATTGATACATTAGTTATGGGGTTTTCATAAATGCCCTCTGTCAGATGGAGGAAGTTCCCATCTATTCCTTGTTTGTTGGGTGTTTTTATCTAGAAAAAGAGTTGGGTTTTAGTCAGATGCTTTTTCTGCTTCAACTGAGATCCCGTGGTTTCCCCCTTCACCCACTAACACGCGGTGTGGTGGATTACACGGGTGAATTTCTGTGCCCTGAAAGGGCCTGGCTCTGAATCCAGGACTCCGGGTCAGTGCGCATGCACCTAACCGCTAAGGTTAATGGCCACTGTAGAGACAGGCGGCCTCTCCCTCCTGTATCCCTCCGCCTCTCTCCCATCCCATTTAGTATTCGTCACTCAGGTCCTTTGTCTTCTGTCCAGAAACCACCGCTCCCGCCTCACCCTCTCCTTTCTCCCTTCCCTCACACTCTGAAGGCTTCCCCACCCTACCCCCGGCCAGAAGTCCCCACGGCTCCCTGAACACGCCACATCCGTGCCTTCTGCACTCTCTAGCACCTCTGCCTGGGACGCCCTCTCCCCAGTCCAGCCCAGAAAACTCCTATTCATCCCTCAAAGCCCAGCTGGGGGAACGCCTCCTCTGAGATGGCATCCGTGAGCTCACAGGGGCATCCGTGGCCCTCTTTGGGAACCTCGCATCCCACACTGCTGCGGGGCCCTCACTAGTTCCCTGCCACTTCCCATTGCCTTGGGAGCAGGGACCACGTCTCCTTTGCTCCAGGGTCCTAAGGCCAGCCTGGGTCCAGCACAGTGAGTCGTGGTTGAAGGAATGAATCCTTGCTTGGAATCTTCCGTGAGGCCAATTCATTTCAGCTACCAAAGTCATGCATTGCTTCCTTTTCCTCTGACAGCAAAACAGCCCCTGGCTTCTGAGCAGGGGGCCCTACCGGCTCAGCTCCTGGTGCATAACAGCTGCCAGGGACTGTTCACGGAGGCAGGACAGCAAGGGGGCAGCAAGGCCAGTGCCTGCCATGGCAAACAAACAGAAACCTTGCTTTTCCCTGGGCTGGGCAGGGTGGTACAGGGGCGCGGTGAAGCAGGCCCCTCCTCCGTCCCTTCAGAGAATGGGCTGGCCGCCTCTGGAAAGCTCCATTTCTGACAAAGGGGGCGCCTGCGGTGGGGCGTGGAGGAGACCGGTGGAGGGGAGGGGCGATCATCGTCCACGCAGCCCGGTGCTCTGTCCAGGGGTACGGGGCTCCTTGAAGGTCAGTCAATACCCCTGGCCATCGCAGGGATGCCCGTACATCTCTGCCCTTCTTGGGGTCTCAGCCATCCCATCTGCCAAATGGGTCCAATCATCCCTACCCCACCCGGCTCACCAACGCCAAAAGAGCTGAAAGCACTTCGGAAAGAAAGACTCAGTGAATTCATTATACAAACGAAGAGGATTGTTATTAGACCCAGGGGCAGGGTCAGAGAGGAAAACAACAAAAAGGTGGAATGAGCCCTTCACTGGGCGTTGCCCCACAAAACAAAGTTGCCGGTTCAATTCCCGGTCAGCGTACATGCCTGCGATGGGGGGTTCAGACCCCGAACATTGATCAGTTGCCTCTCGCATGCCCCTAACCAGGGACCTGGCCCGCAACCCAGGCGTGTGCCCCGATGCAACCAAACTGGTGACCTTTCCCTCTGCGGACCATGCCCAACCCACTGAACCACACCGATCAGGGCTCACCGTGCTGTTTTGATCCCTCCTTCTCCCTGCTGCCCCACTGTATTTAAAAAAAAAAAAAAAAGGGTGGAGTAAGTGCCTGGAGCTCTGCCTTGAGCCCCCTGAGGAAGAGAAGCAGGAATGGGTGGGAAGAACAGCACCTACGAGGAGGGAGGTGGGGGCTGGGTCCCGGCTCTGCCACAGACTGGTCACTTCCCCCGGGACTCAGTTTCCTTACCTTGTATGAAGGGGGGCAGGTACAGTCCCTGCCTGGCTCCTTCTGAGGGCCTCAGCTCCACTTTGTGAGAAAGCGGGTGGGAGGGCTTTGCCAGCTGCGTGGCACAGTGCACGCAGGCAGGCAAAAACACTGTTTGAGGCCCAGAGGGTCCTTGGAGTGCCCTCAGCCCCCTGACGCCTTTTCCTTCTCCCTGCTCCCCTCAGCCTCCCTGGCATCCTGTCCTGGGGTCCGAGGCTTGACCGCAGGGCTGCCACCGAGCTCCTGCCCTGGGCTGGCCCAGCAGCCACTCCCTCAGCCAGTGGCTGCCTGTGGCCTCTGGTGCCCCTCGACGAGCGGGTTTGTTTCTTGTGATGGACGTGTACATGCGCTCCTGACGGCCCTTGGCCCTCTTTTCCCTGACTGCCCTCCTTTCGAGGAGCTCTCGTGTGTGCCTAAGTAGCCTGTCTCTGGGTGTCGCCTCCGTCCTGGGCGAGGGTTGGAATGACCGGTGGTGAATTCTCCCTTGCAGTACCCCCGGGGGGGCCGCCAGCAGCCCGGGGAGGAGACAGCACCCGCCTCGTCCCAGCACCCGCAGACCTGGAGCTCGGCTCGCCAACCCTCCGGGCTGGGGTCTCCGTGCCGGCCGGGCGGAGAGGAGAGAGCTGTTGGTGGAGCCCCGGCCGGGACCTTCAGAGCAGCGCCTTGAAGAGGAAGGAGAGGGAGGCTCCACAGGACAGCCCCAGGGACAGGAAGAACGTCATGAGGGCACCGGCCACCTCCTTCTCGTGGGGCAGCACCTGCCTAGAACGCACAGGGGTAGCGGCTCTTAGAAACGCTGAGCCGTCCGCTGAGCTGGCCCTGGCCCCGGTGCCCCCGGCCCTCCTCACAAGACACGCGGGTTCTCGTCTGGAGGGACCCAGCCTCCGGCTCCCGGTCACTGGGCCCTTCGCTCTGGACCTCGGCTTCCTGACCGGGGACACGAGGCCTCTGGACAAGGACATCTCTATCCCCAAACTGCCCCCCACCCCGTCACCTCTCTGGATTCTCAACTCCAGTGCCCCTTGAGAGCCCACGAACCCTGCTTTTGAGCAAAACTTCAGCTCCCCTTCGACTGATGGTTTTGGCAGCAGCCGGGCCCTAGCAAACGGCAGGCCGACCCACTTATTTCCCAGACCGGGGAGCTGAGGCCCAGAGAGGCGGCCCCGGGACCAAGTGCCTGGGTGGCTTCAGCAGACGGGCACTTCCCCAGTTCCCGGCCTGACCCGCAGCGTGGCCGGGAGACAGCTGGGGCCGGGCCAGGCGGAGCAGCAAGAGTCCTGCCCTGCAGGCTGGGTCCCCCCTCCCCGCTCCCAGGCCCTCCCCAGCCGTCCGCAGACCTGGGCGCCAGGCACATGGTGAGGGACACCAGGTAACCGTTGGAAACGGCAAAGAGCAGCATGAAGGTGATGAAGTAGGCGTCCTGCCGGAAGAGGACGGGCAGCCGGGACTTCTCGGGCACGTGGCACAGCATGAAGAGCGGGATGAACAGGATGCGCAGGCATACCAGCAGGGGCAGCAGCCGGCTGTCCTGGTCGGGCTGCGGCGGAAGCAAGCGGGGCTCAGGGTGGGCCCCGGGAGCAGGTCTCTCTGCCCCAGCGGTACCCAGGACAGACTCATCGCTCACTTCCCCTGAGCTACCCTACGTGAGCCAGCGAGGACCCCGCTCTAGGGCGTCTGGGGAGCGAGGGACTGGGCCAGGGCCCCCCAGCCATCAAGAACTAACTAGCCCGGGGCTAGCCTCCTTGCTCCTGGTCTCGGGCCCTGGTGTCTCCCTGGCAGAACTGGAAGAAGAGGCCCTAGACGGCGTCGCCGGTTTTCAAACGCAGTTCCTCCGACCACCCGCAGGGGTTCTGCAGACCTCTTTGGGGAGGGTGCGGCTGCTGACCAGCGTTGGCAGCTGGGGATCCGGGCCCCGTGCTCCTGGGATCAGTGCACCTCTGCTTCGGTCTACTTTGTGGAGCCTTCTCGAAATATTTCATTTAGTGAAGCGGCATCTTGGCTGGAAGCAATCCAGACACTCGGGAGCCTGTCCCCCCTCTCACGTGGTGCAGCCTCCACGTGACAGTCTCTGAACACGGAGGGCTGGGCCCCGGGCCGGATGCCAGGGACACAGGTCAACTGGACATCGCTTCTGGGGCCGGGGGCTCACTGCCACCCGTCGGGCTGTCCCACTGCCAGGCCCAGACCGGTCGGACCGTCCGGAGATCACCTTTCTGTGCCCTTTCACACCCTCTGACCACCACCTGCTTCCCAAAGCTGCCAGATCACCTGGCCCAGGTGTGCTCACCCACAGGAAGTAGGAAGTCAGGCTCCGCCCCAGCCAGTCCATGATGTTGAAGAGAAGGAAGCAGCAGATGGGGTTGAAGAACTGACCTGGGAGAGAGAGAGGAGGCTCCTTCTGGTCCTGCCTCCCCTCTTCCCCCTCTCCCCTCACCCCCACCCCCGCCCCGCCCCGCCTGGCCCCTTCCCGACACTCACTCCACTTCCCGGGACCGGCGGAGCTGGTCACCATGGCTGTGATGGCGGGGAAGACAGACAGGGTGACTGTGAAGACCAACACAAGGCACAGCGCCACCAGCCAGATCTGGAGCCGGAGGCAGGGTTGTGAGCAGGCGGGGCGGACCTGGGGCCCCGCGCTCAGCCCCGACCCTCCTGTGACAGCCCTGGCCTGGCCTGGCCGGCATGGCTCAGCCGACTGAGCGCTGGCCTGCAAGCCAAAAGGACACCAGTTCGATTCCCAGTCAGGGCACAGGCCTGGGTTGCGGGCCAGGGTCCCATTTGGGGGCATGCGAGAGGCAACCGATCTATGTTTCTCTCCCTCTCTTTCTCCCTTCTTTCTCCTCACTCTAAAAGTAAATAAATTGCAATTTTTGAAAAAAGAAGGAAAGTCTTGGCACAGGAGCAGAACATCTGGGCTCTGGTCGGTATCCCCGACCTACTGTGAATGACCCTGTCACCTCGGGGTGGACACGGTGACTCCTAAGGCCCCATTCCACTCCGAGTCTTTGGAGAGGGCTGGAGACAGCGGCCCTCTCTTCCCCGTGGGTTATGGCAGCTGTGGGTTCTGTTGAAGCCAAACCTTTCGGAGGACGGTGAAAACCAAAGGTTTTCCTGGCTTCTGGGGCTCCTCCGGCTCCGGCTGTGGCTCCTTCTCGGGGTCCAGATCCAGAATCAGGGCTGCCTTCTGAGGGCTGTTGGGAATCCCGTTCTTCTCGTCTGGGGCAAGAGGGGAGGGTAGGGTCATGCCGGTGACCCTTGCCCGTCGCAGGGAGATTCCCAGCAATTAAAACAAGTGACTGTCCTTCAGCCCCGGAAGTATGCTCAGCTGCTGTTTATTAAGCACGTACGTGTGTCAGGCAGATTAAGCACCTGAAGTGGATTATGTCACTGCCGTTGCTCTACAAGAAAGAAACGGCGGCTCAGAGGGGTTGAGTGACTTGCCTCAGGTCACACAGCTTGGGTGCTGTGAAGCCAGGGTTCAAACTCCGATGCATGTGGATGCAGACCTTGCGTACCTGAGGTTCTACCACCGCCCCGCTTTACAGGGGAGGGAGCTGAGGCCCAAAGAGCAATGGGGACGGTGTAATCCCACTGCCTTCTGCCCGTGCTCTTCTTCCTGCCTCTGCTCACACAAGGCTACTAGGGGGGAGGGCTCCAGTTGGGGGCAGAGAGGAAACGCTTCCCTGTGGCGGTGGCTCGAGGCTCCGCTGGGTCTCCACCTCCCCCAGCAGAGCCCGGGGCTCACCAGACGGGAGGAGCTCTGCTTTGGTCTCCAGCTCCCGACCTTGAGCCAGCGATGATTTCTTGGCCAGGTGGTAGCGGGCGAACTCCTGCAGGAGGAAAGCGTTGGCCCCGCCTGGCTTGGTGCGGGTGTCTGCATCCCTCCACACCCTGTTGGCTGAGAGGCTGGGGTGCCCCCGTGGCTGACTCCTGTGGGGATCAGGACTGGGCCCAGGTCCCCTCCACCTCCCCAGCCTCTCCTGGGGACTCAGACTCAGGTCTGGACTGTATCTGAGATGCTCTGAAGCGCAGCCCCGAGCCCAGGGCCAGGCTCACCAGGTGGGGCAGGCTCAGGTAACACACGATGGATACGAGGACGCCCACACAGGGCGTGATGAAGTACCCCAGGGCAGAGGTCTGGGCATCCACACCACCTGCGCAGAAACTGCAGCTGCAGGGGCGCGGCGGCTGGTCCCACCGGCTCCCACAGGGCTGACCACTCTGGTCCCACTCCCTGGTATGACCTCCTCAGGGTCACCTCCGGCCCCTTCCACTCCTCTCGCTGACAAACCCGGGACTCTCTCACCCTTCCCTCTGGGCCATTTTCTTGCGCACCTACTATGTGCTCGTTGTTATCACTTGCTCCTTACACTCTGAGGATGGAGCTATAATAACCATCTCGGTGAGGAAGCAGGGAAACTGACACAGGTTAGGAGCCTCGCCCGGCACCCCCCACTAGGGAGCCGAGGAAGTGGGATTTGAACACAAGTCTATCTGGACCCCAAACCTGTCCCTCCTTCCCTCAGCCTCAACCTGCTGCTACTGCATCCCAGTTGGCCTCAGCAACCCGCGCCTGGCCCCACGTTCCCCCAGTCGTCACCCAGTCGCTGTCTCGCTGCAGAACCCGGGAGCCCTGCTCCGGACCCCAAACCCAGTCCCCAGCGCCCCGTCACCTCAGGCTCCACCCATAACCCCAGGCACCTCGCTCCTGGCACTCTCCTGAGCCCCAGGGGCCACCCAAGTCTACTCACTGGCCATGGACATGACCATGGCAAGGGCAGCGAAGATCCCAGCCAGGCCCTGGCCGCTGAGGAAGAGGGTGCTGTAGGTGGAAGGCATGGTGCCCAGCTGCCCGAAGAGGCTGCCTTGCAGGACGGCACAGAAAGCTGCGGAGGGACAGGCTGCCACTCAACGAGGCAGGCCTGGGGCTCCCTGGAGGAGGTGTCAGCAGGATGCACAGGGACTCTGGATGAGGCCGGCAGGCATAAGACCCCCGGCATTCTGGGGTAACAACCCGCCCTCCCAGGGCGCTCCTCTTCCGAGGTCTCAGGGCCAGGAGGCCAGCTCTCAGGCCGCTGTGGGCCTGGCACAAGGGGCCTCGCCTTTCCCTCGGGGCCTCAGTTTCTCATCAGGGACGTGGATGCTGCCACTGCTGCTGTCTTCCCCTTTCTGGATACATCGGTCCTTTCAGTTACACAAGAGAGGCCGGGCCGAAGTCCTGGGTGGGGTGGGCCGGCTGGGAGGTGGGCGGGGGCAGTGGCACTCACAGTTGATGAACCAGACGGAGGCCATGGTGATGGAGAAGAAGGGTCGGGGGCTCATGTCCACCCTGACCAACGCCGCCGTCAGGGCGAAGAGCAGCAGGATGACCAGCAGGCTACCCAGAATCCGCACCGTCTCAGGGATGCTGCACATGGCGGGGGGGCGCACGGTGAGTGTGGGCGGGGCCCAGCTGGGCAGAGGGAGGTGGGCAAGAGACTCAGCCAGGGCTGGACAGTGAGAGGGGGGAGATGCAGGGGGCGTGGAGGAAGGACGGGGGATCTTCCCTGGACCCAGATGCAGCTGTCTCAGCAGGGGTGGGGGGTGGCCTGGGAGGGGGCCCGGGCGGGCCTCTCACCACTGGTACAGGAAGGAGTTGAGAAGCGTGAAGAGCAGCAGGGGCAGCTGGGACAGCAGCGTCACCCAGTTGTTGAAGTTGAAGGCGTCTGCAGGGCCACTGTGGTTGGTCCCCAAGGTCCCGTTGGTGCTATTGGCCACCGCCAGCCGCCCCTGGAAGTACTGCCAGGGTGCCAGGAGAGCGGGGACAGAGTCACCACACAACACGCCCTCAGGAACCCCCCCAGCCTCCTCCTTGCGCAACCCCCCTCCCCCAATGGGATGGCTCGGTTAATGTCTGTGGGGACTGTCTCTGTCCTTGCACTGTCCCCAGCGCCTGGCACACAGTCGGAGCTTGGTGAACGTGCACTGAATTGAACAGCTGACGTCTGGGACAGAGCCCAAGCCCTAAGGACCTGCAGCCGGGGGCCTTGCTCCACCCCCAGACCACCCTCCTCGTCTGTGCCCCAGCGCCAGCCCCCACCCCCACTCCGAGGCCGCTTCTGGATTCCCGAGTATTCACCGAGGGCCACAGCCAGCCAGGCTCCGGCTTAGTGCTGACCAGCTGCATCCTCTCTGGAGCCCAGGCCTGCTCAGCCTCCCCCCCCGCCCCCCCCACGGCTCCCTATGGCCTGCAGGGCAAAGCCTCTGAGTTTCGGAGCAGCCTTGGGGGCCCTTTGGAACCAGAGCTCCCTTTTGTGCCCCATCTCCGGCTTTGTCCCACTGAGCTCCAGGCACCCCTTTCTCCAAACAGGCCAGCACCCCTCTGCCTCCGTGCCTTTGCCAGGCTGCCATCTCCGTCTGGCATGCTCCCTCCTCTTCTTGCCTCCCTCGACATGCTGTACTCCCCTTCTCCCAAGTTACAAGCCACCTCCTCTCCGGAGCAGAAGGGACGCTCCCTCTCCCGGGGACCCACAGGACCCTGCTGCAAGCCTGGGGTGCCCCAGGTCGGGGGACCTTATTCACTACTCTTTGGTACCTGCCCATCTTGCTGTCAAGACCAAGGGCGGATTCAGGTTTGCATCTCCAGGGCCCGGCAGAGAGCCAGGCTCGGAAGAGCTTCTGGAAAGCTGTGCGGAATAACCCAGCTGCAGAGGGAACCATGCCCTCCATTGCTGCCTTCCCCAGAGAGATCACAAGCTCGTGAGGACAGGGCCTCCCTGGTCTGTCTCCTCCCGCACTCCCCTCCCCGCGCCGCCCAGCGGACGGGGCCGGCCCACACACAGCAGGTGCACATCAACGATCTGTTGGATGGATGGGGGGTAACTTATACTACTTCAAAGAAAACCAAAGGCTCGGGTAGGCCAGTTTTGGAGTGACTAGCCCAGGAATAATGAATGATACCCAGCTTCCTGAGCTGGTGGTCTTGCCCCTCTAGGAGCCCCGGGGCCTCGAAAGCTCGCCTTTCCTAGACCCCAAAGGGGCACCTTCCCTCTCAGTGGTTTCATGCTTTGGCAGACACACGGGCATAGTGAGAAGGCAAAGTCCGCATGGTAGGGAAAGGCCTGGCGTGCCTAGGGTCCGAGGCGGCTGGAGGGACAGACGGTGGCTGTGGCCTTGGGGCTGTCACTCCAGCCGCCAGTCTCACCGGGATGGCCGTGATGAAGAAGTTCCAGGGAAGGAGAGTGCCCAGCCCAAGGATAAAGAAGCTGATCCCAACCAGGTGGTACCTGTGGGGATCAGGCAGAAGGTCACCCCGAGGGCGCACGCAGCTCCTCGGCCGCCCCTCCCGTCCCCGTCCCCGTCCCCGTCCCCGCTGGGGAGCGGACTACAGCCCCCATCGCCCCGGCGAGGACAGCGCAGGCAGGCGGCTGATGGGAACTGTAGTCCCATCCTCTCAGCTTTGTGCCTCGGAACGCCCCGAGGAACCTGGTCTGCGCCGCCTACCGCCATCAGTATTTCCGCACTCAACCCTCTCGGCCCCCAACTCGCCTGTCCTGCGGGGTGTCTCCTCGCTCCATGGCAGTCCAGCGGGATGAGCCTGGGTGGGAGAGCGGGGCGGGGCACAGGGGTGCGCCGCACCCGCACCAGCGCGGACCGAGGGTGGGGGATCGGTCTCTCGGAAAGGGGAGGGAACAGGCGTGAGTGGAGGAGGGAGTCGCAGACCAATTTCCTGGGGTCTGGGACTCGGTCTGCGCGGACCTCGGCTCCGCCCCCGAGGCGGGACCGAGAGAGACGCACCGCCCCTCCCAGACCCGATGGTCCGGGATTCCAGCTGCGGGCGCAGGACCCTTTCCCACACCGACCAGAGCGGTGGGCTCGGCCCTCTGCGGGCGGGGTGAGGCAGCTAGCGCCCCCTAACGTGAGAGAACCACGGGCGATAGTGTCACCCGAGCAGGGCGGTGCCAAGGAACCCGGAGAGTCTGTCGCCAGCGGTCCTGAGCCAAGTTGGGGGCTTCGTGAGGCCGGGGAGAGGGCCAGGTGCCTGGGCTGACCGTCTGGAAGATGGACAAACAGACGGACCCTGCTACGCCTCTCAATGCTACACACAGCGCAGGCATGGGCCCCGGGGAGTCGTCTGAGCGGGCTTCTCGTGGGCGGCGAGGCCAAACTGTGTCCCTCGTCCTGTGCACAGAGAAGCCCCCTGACAAAGAAGTATGTCAGTAGCGTCAAGGTTGAGAAAGCCTGGCAGAGGCTGTGCTGGTGGTGGCTCATATTTTAGCCTGTAAATTACAGGATGACAAGCTGGAATTGGGACGGAACCAAAGGACAACGAACAACAGCCGGAAATGGGTGTGACGGCAAATGGAACAGTTGGCAAGTAATAGAGCGACGCTCCGTCGCTGGGTGTGGTTGTTGATGTGTTGCTGGGGCGTCTGGGGACGAGAAGAGGACACGTAAATGTGGGGTGACAGAGTGGGGGTGGCAGCCGTGGTGCGCTGGCTCTCCCCACACCTCACCCCACCCCTTGCTTTCCTGCACTTCAGAGGCTGGAAAGAGAACCGCTCGGCTCCCTGGGCTCGTTTGTAGCTCAGCTTCTGTGTGACTTCGGTCCCACCGGCCACATGTGCTGCGTGAGGCCTGACCTCGGGGCTGGGTCATGGTCACGCGTGTGGGCAGCAGTCAAGAGGCTGCGTGCCAGGCACGGTGGTCTCTGCGGCCAGCAGTTCTGGTGCTGACTTCCCGTCTGCAGATGCCAGACAACGGTTCCCAGGACCCGCACGCCAACGGCAGCTTCCCAAGGCTCAGCCAAAGTGGTGTAACTCCAGAGAGCCAGCAGTTGGGACGGAGGGTCCTCCAATGCGGGGGCGTTTCAAAGGTCGTTTCTGAAAGCCCAATTGAGAGCCCAGGTCTCCGGTCCTCCCAATTATTCTATACACAGAAAATCCCTACACGGAATCCCTCAAAGTTCGACGTGGCGAGAGTAGCTTCCGCATTGGAACGCTGACTGATGAAACATAAATCGTATCCACAATGTAGAAAGGGGATCTTTCCTACTTATCAATGAGGAAAATCAGAAACTGAGCCAAAGACACGAACAAGCAGTCTGGAAGGAAAAACATGAATGGTCTGTATACACGGCAGGATGTTTGCCCTCATGGGTATTCAGGGAGACGGGCAGGGGGCCCCTAGGGCAGCTTGCGCGCCCACCAGACTGACAGTCTGCAGGACACCAAGCACTGGTGGGGGTACAGGCAGCTGCCACACAGCCCTGGCAGCAACAGAGGGACCACTGGGAGTTATCACCGAAGTAGGACTTTGATGCCCTGCAGTCCAAAGCCTCCCTCCTACGTAGCCCTGAAGCAGCATCTCCCAACTCTCTTTACACAATGGCAGACAGAAAAACCGCAAAAAGGTTAGCACATTGGGTAAAAAGGGGAAGTGGGGCCCTGGACACAGTGGGCCCCGCCCAGCCACCCCCAGGGCTGAAAATAACCGTACCCTTGTGCACCCGTGCGTACGCCTGTCTGCACGCCCGTCGGTAACACTGTCTCGTAAACCTTTGCGCATGCGCGTTAGAAGACACAGGCATGCATGTCCAGAGCAGCCATGTTCACCACCGCAGAAAACGAGACACTGCCCAGGAGTCTAGCAACAGCGGGATAGATCAACAAAGTGTGGCGCATTCCTGTAATAAGAGGCCACATGGCAGACAGGAAGGAAGAGCCGCCGCGGGCAGCGTGCCAACCAGCCCCGGGCCAGTCATCGGCGGGCCGCCTCTCAGCTCGCGTCTCTCCTGCGTCTGCCCTGCTCTGCCCTGCGTCGTGGCGAGGGGGCGGGACGCTGGGCACGTCTCCTTTTTGCCTGCAGGTACACAGGGCCTTATTGGCAGAGACCCTGGTTGGACCCTGCAGGGACAAAAGGCTCGTGTTCCTGGTTCTGGTGCTTTTGTTCTTCCTTCTGCCACAACGCAGCCAGCAGATATCCTCCCGGGGGCAGTGCCAGCACCCAGCAGCTGGTGCTCCGCTTCCCGGCCCCGCTGGTGGCACCTCCGTGAACTTCCCTGCCCCTCAGCTGACCACACTGCCCCCCAGCCCCTGCCCCAGTGAGGTCAGGATGTCAGCCTTGGTTGGGGGGAGGGCTCCTCCCAGGTACTCCCTCCCTTCTTGTAGACTCTTCTCAGGCCCAGAGGTAGTTGCTGCTTCATACATCCATTCGTCTTACCTGTTTAAGTTCCCCACTAACCTCTTGGTAGTTAAGCCCTGTTCACTTGTGAGTAATGCTCTATATTCATTTTTTTAGATTTTATTTATTTATTTTTAGCGAGGGAAGGGAGGGAGGGAGATAGAGATAGAGATAGAGAGAGAAACATCAATGTGCAGTTGCTGGGGGTCATGGCTTGCAACCCAGGCATGTGCCCTGACTGGGAATCGAACCTGCGACACTTTGGTTCCCAGCCCGTGCTCAATCCACTGAGCTACGCCAGCCAGGGCTATATTCATTTTTTCTTTTCTGTATAAATTACTGGTGTGGCTTCTGTCTCCTGAATGATAAACCCCCTCAAATGTATTGAATAAAAAAGTAAGTTGTAGAAAAATACATACAGTGTATTTGTAATTATATAAAATTCAAAAGCAGGCAAAACTAAGCAATATATTGCTTAAGGGTCCACACACATATGATAAAGTTATAAAGAAAAGCAGGAGGGTGAATTAGAAAAACAGCGTATTGGCTGTGAGTGGATTGGGAGGTGATGTGATCACGGAATTGTGGTATTTAACTTCTCAGATTGGGCTGTGAGTACAGGGATAAACAGGAATAAATGGGAATCCAGTTTATCACGATTCTTTAAATTGCTTGCACTGTTATACTTTTGTAGCAAAAACTCTAAGAAGTAATAGAATCTCCAAGAGCACGTTTATGCTGATAAATCAGAAAATTTACATTAAATGGACAAATTTATAAAACATATAATTTAGGAAACTGATTTCAAGAAGAAATAGAAAGTGTGTAGTCTTATAACCATTATATTAATTGAATCGGTGAGTTGAAATATTTCCACAAAGAGCAGATTTAGCCCAAATAAAATTGCAGAAGCAGATTATTCCGATCTTAAGCTCCTCCAAAACACACAATATTAGAGATTGTTCTCCCACTCACTTTATAATTCTGATATAACCTCAATACCAACGCACACCAAGAACAATACAAGAAAGAAAAAAAAATTAGATGCCAACCTTACTTGTGAACACAAATGCACAATTTTAAAGCAAAATATTAATAAACTGGGATAGAGGAGTAGGTAAAAATATAAATTTGGATCAAGTTGAGTTCGTCCCCAGCATGCAAGGACGGTGTGAGGGGCTCCTCGACACTCCTGCCGTCCAGCAGTGAGGACTTGTGTGCCTTCCCTCCGAATCCGAGTGGGTTCTACCTGTTGGGAGCACCTCGTAGATCAGAAATGGCGGTGTGTCCGTTTCCTTTCCTTAAACGGCTGTCCGCTTCCACGGCTTGTCTCTGGAGACGCCTGCTCTGGACATGGCCTGAGCTGCCGTGGTGAGAAGTCCAGCTCTCCCAGTGGAGAGTGCGCGTGCAGAAGGAGAGCGCCGGGTGATTTCAGTCTCCCAACCGCGCCCGCCCACGGGCCAGGACTGTGGGTGGAGCCATCGTGGACTCTCCGGGCCAGACCGCTCATTGGATGAGTGCCATCGCGTGACCGCCGAGTGGCTGACACACGGAACAGAAGAAGCAGTCTCCTGAGTGCCCCCAAATTCCCAACCCACAAAATCAGGAGGCGTAAGTGTCACAAGTGTGCACAGGTAAGCAGGTTCTTAGTGATCGAGGACAAAGAATGGAACCGAACACACAAAGTTCATAGAAGAGAACATGGGAGCAGGCCAACTCCAAGCAGAGATGGACCTCATGGGCTGGAGGGACTTTATTCTTATAGGGTGGATCCTTCCTGGCTAGTTTTGGTGGGCTTTTACTGAGTATATACAAGTAGTTGCATTACTTTAAAGCTACTGCGCATGTGGTTTCCCATGATCCTCCCCAACTGGCCACCAGGGAAGAGGGTCCCACAATGCTAGAGAATTAATCCCTGTTTCTCCTGGGGTCCCCCTGTACTAGGTTCACCTTTCCCTAAGCCAGAGAATTCTAGCTCTCCCTGCTAGAGATTGGTGAAAAAGAAAAGAGTTATTTATTCAAGTTATACAGACTAAAAGTAATGACTTAATGTCTTTGTCAAAATCCCAAAGTCCTGCCCTGGCTGGCGTAGCTCAGTGGATTGAGCGCAGGCTGCGAACCAAAGTGTCGCAGGTTTGATTCCCAGTCAGGGCACATGCCTGGGTTGCAGGCCACGGCCCCCAGCAACCACACATTGGTGTTTCTCTCTCTCTCTCTCTTTCTCCCTCCCTTCCCTCTCTAAAAAGTGGATAAATAAAATCTTAAAAAAAAAAATCCCAAAGTCCCTTGAAACACCCACAAACACACACAGTCCTTCCTTCCCCCCTTTGCCCAGTCTGGGGTACCGTATCTCAGGAGAAGAAATAGAAGTCCGTGGCTTGGGCAGCTCTCGGTTTTTCCTAGTAATTTGTGCTCAGCTGGCAGGCCTTCCTTAGTTCCCAGCACCACTGGTTGTGTTGCCAGGATCTCCAGCTAAAGCCGCGTGGTGATTCTTCTCATGGCTGCGGGGGGGGGGCGGGGCGGATCCCCCTTTCTGGGAGAGCGATGGCAGCTGCACCGAGGGGGCTAGCGCGGAGCTCACCGTGTCCTGGCCAGAGCAGGTGGCTGCGAGGTTGGCTGAGCCCGAGCAGTGAGAGCGCGGGCGCAGCGTGCGGAGGCCGGGCAGTGACCCGGTGCTCCCGAGTCACTTACTGGTGACCCCTTCTCGTGGCCGCGGCTGCAGAGCTGGCTGGGGCTGCATCGCTGACGGTGTCTACGCGGCTGCGGGAGTCCCCACTCTGCTAAAGCGGCAAGATTCTCTCCAATGGCTGCCGCGCCGGAGTTTAAATCCCCGAGCCCATCTTCCTCTGCATCCCCATTTCCGACTCCTCCCACGACTCCTCCCACACTCGGCCTCACAGGCCAGAGCTTTCAAAGCCTTCCAGCTTTAGTGGACTGCCATGCTGGGGCTGGGCAGGTGCGGCCCCATGTCATGGAACCAATCATCTCCAAGTTCTCACGCAGGTACAGGCACTGTAACCAGGGGAGTTGCCTCCCAGGCTCCATAACTAGGGCAAGTTACTTCCATTTCCCTGGCTCAGAGCTTGGCCAGAGCTATTTAACATATCTGTGTAACCAGCCAAAGGCCATAGATATGTTTAAAGACCACGCCAGAGGGCAGCTGCAAGGCTGTTGCTATGGGAAACAGCTCTCAATGGCCCTGCTCCATGTGTCCCTTCCCCTGGGGTGGAGGGTGAGGACATTCTATATATTTTTCTAATATTTCCTGGACACCTTGAGTTCTGAACTTCACCACAAATCCCTCTTTTGGGGACCCCCTGGCTGCACCCTCCTGCATAAGGAAATCATAATGGTTTTATGCTATGAGTTTTGGAGTCGCTTGTGGTGCGGCAGTAGATGACCAGGACAGGAGGTTTAAGAATAGACAGTTTCTAAAGGCGATTCACCATATTCATGAATCGAAGGAGAAAATTCTCAAGATCAGGTCAACAAATACAGAAAACGCACTTGATAAAATTCAACATCCACTCGTGATTTTCTTTAAAAGACTCAGCCAACTAGAGTTGAAGGCAAGCTTTCTTAACTTGGTATCTACCAAAACTACAGCAAACTCAATTAATGGCAAAATGTGGCAAGTTCTCACCCTAAAGTCAAGAACAAGAGCATTACTATCATTACTTCAGTTCAACACTACCCTGGGCGAGTGACGCCAGACAGGGAAAAGAGATAAAAGAGCCTACAGCTGATAAGGGAAAAACAAAACTAAGGTTTATAGGTGCCAGGAACGCCCTACGTGGTTTCAGAAGCTGTAACGCCCCGGAAGCTAAGGCTGAGTAAAGGACCTTGGGACCATAAACCACTAAGAAGACAAAGCTTATCTTCCTGGCTGGGGCGCCCACCTCTGCCCCCTTTACTTCACTCTGCCTGGCCCCAGGCAGATGACTGGCTAGCCAATGACAGGTTAAGATTCCTCAAGGGGAAAAAAAAAAGATTCCTCAAAGGAGGGATGACCTAAGACAAGCCAGGCTCAGTCACATGATGAGGCCATCAGGGAAGGACTTGGGGGGCTACAGAAAAAGGGGGTGATGGACCCTTGCCCCTTGGCTTTGCCATAGCCTGAGTCCTCATTCTGTCTGTGAGAAGTGTCCTCATCTCTTGGCTGCCTTACTCCCCCTGCCCGACTTCAGCCTGAAACAATGACGGGGGGCGGCGCAGCCCTGGGCAGGAATGGACGGTTTCCCAGGGAGATCAAGCCTAGGAAAGAACGCATAAAATCCTGTAAAACCTGCTTTGCTAAGAATGCCCTCAATTGTCTGATAAGCGTCCAAGCATAAAATGAGTTTGTTTCCCAACGTTTTATGGCCCTTTGGCTATCTGACCCTTATGAGAATAAGCACTCATAGTCCTTTGAATGTAATTGTTTGATCCTTACCACCTGACAATGACTAGTGAGCTTTACCTGCATTCCTGTGCAAATGGAACCCAATAAAAGCCCACTGAGGAACAGGCTCCTGACCCTTCTCCTCTGAGAGATCAGCCACCTTTCCTCCCCAAGCAGATCCTGTCTTGGTAGACTGATTCTCATCCGTGACAGCCGGGGGCTCTGCTGGACAAAGCTCCCCTACATGATTGTCTACGTGGAAAATATGAGGTCTGTCCAGAAAAAGTCGAGCCATTGTTAATATAATGAGAACTGTTTGCATGACATCGATGTAACCTGGCAGGCAAGGAGAGTGGCTGGGATGCACAAGCATGAACAATGACGACTTCACTGTACTGGCCAGTGGGGGCAGGAGATGCCATTGAGTAAGCCCATGTACTGTGTGGCCATTGCATTCAAAATGACTGAGTGAGCAGAGGAGCGAATCTGCACCAAATTTTGCATTAAGCTTGCACATTCTCCCATGGAAACTATTTGGATGGTTCAGAAGGCCGCGGCTGCGGGCAGCTGGCGATTGGCAGCTTCACCCCGACAGCACGCCTGCTCACACGTCACGTCTGGTGCAGTTTTTTTGGCAAAACATCAAATCATCGGGTGGTGACTCAGCCCCCCTACAGCCCAGATTTGGCGCCCTGTGACTTCTGACTTTTCCCAAAACTAA